TCGAATGGTTGAAACAATCTCCCTTTGGAATAAACATTTAGTAGTAGATAAACGTTAAAACGTTTAAGGAAAGTTGAGAATGTAGTCTTATTTCGCCCCTTCCTGATCAATTAAAAAATCGAGAGGACTCAATGGAGATAGAACCAAATAAATCAAGAATGGCACACGATTCTCCCGGGTTTTTAATTGATCAGGAAGGGGCGAAATAAGACTACATTCTCAACTTTCCTCAAACTTGTTAATTTTTATCTACTACTAAATATTTATTCCAAAGCGAGATTTTTCCAACCATTCGATTGCAAAGAATACATATAGTGTGCGGCCGTTCGGTTCGGCAAGAAGAGACGAAAGTGGACGAAAGACGAAAGTCCCTACTAAGAATCAAATGATGGCCGAAAGTTCCTCGAAGGGAAAGTTAGTTTTTCACGATTACAGCCCCATCCCCACTCTCGTTGCTAGTACTACTACTTTCGCTTCTGGTAGCTCTAAACCGCCCCAAGGATCTAGATGGCGTGCCTCGGTCTGGCCGAATGAAATTTTAATTTTTGATAAGACGCTCCCTTCCGAACCTCAGCCCACCGTTTCTTCTCTCTTCCTCGTTCTACGTCTTCTCGTCCATAGCGTTCTCCTATCTCGCGGGCCAACGTCAGTTTGGAGTTATTAAATATCACTGAAAGCGGCGTATAAAGGTCGGGGGAGAGGAGAAGAGATATTTGGCGGACCAAGAGACGCACAGACAACCCTTCTGAATGTTTAAAGATACGCCCGGTGGACCAAGCTGCATCGGTTTCAGCATTTATGCGAAAAGAAACGCGCATCCCTGAACGACGAACAAACGGGAAAAGCACGAATTTAGCGCGAACTTATGCAAATCTTACGCGGCAATTAATTGCTAAAGCTGCGCGAAGATAAGGTGCGTTTAATTAAAGGAATGATCAACAATCCGTCCGACTACTAGTACCTTTAATGAACAAAGTTCCCTGGAGTGCATCTACGAACGAGTACAACTTCCAAGATTTACATAACATTTTTCATTATTAATGAAGTTTCGCGTCGATATAAACCTTACCGTCGGTGTTTTGGTTTCTCAAACACCTTTTTTTAGAATATTTTTCAAACTATATCAAAGTATAGCGTTCATTCTACGATAATTTAGTTTAATTATTCGTCTACGAGCTCTCCGCTTCTGGGACCACCAGAATGATCTCTCGACGTATCACCGTCGTCTTTTCGCCCGGAAATTTTAATCAGTACGGAAACGCGCACCGTCGGACGGGAATAAGTTCTAATCCAAGAGACCGCGAGGAGCATGAAAATATGGGAAGACGAAGGAAAGCCAGGACGGCAACGAACGACCGACGACGAGGGGGTATCCTTCAATTATCCTTCAAAGTATTACTTCATCCACTTACGCGTAATGAGCTGTTCTTAATAAAGCGAGCTTCCGCCGTGGAGGCCTCGACGCACGTCTAACGATAAACAGAATTCGCAATGTCGTCCCACGTGGTTGAACGACGATGAATCTCGAACGTGTGCCTAATTCCTCTCGTCGCCGACTCCTTTGGGTTATACCCGACAGCTATCAGTGTCGGGCTTTCAACCGAAAATTCTACTCAGCGTGGGACCATCAGTTTTGATTGTCACTGGGGGCACACTCGCAGTTCCACGGAGGAGAAAGAGCGGGCCAAAGTGCTATCCCTCAAGCTAGTGGTCCCGAAGTTTGGGAACTCGAGAATTTTCAAACGTTATAACCGATTCCCAAATGGTGAAGAGGAATTTAAGACTTTTTTAAAATCTCGAGATGAATTTTGTCAATGTAACGGTAATGTAAATTCAATTTCCATTGCTGACACTTTCTGAAATTGCTACCGTAATTAAGAACCGTGCTCGGTTTTCCCTCTAAACTGTGTCGCGAGGCCGAAAAGAGTAAGAGTCTTCTTCTAAACCATGCCATCAGCTTAAAAAGGTTAAGAACCACTGTCTTGGGCAGGCAGAGCGCGGAACAAGGAGTTACCGGTGAGACAAAGCGAAAAGGGAAGAGAAACGTGATAGGGATGAGACGAAGAGACACAGAAGACCGGGATTTCCCTCCGTCGTGTATGTAGACATATGCTGAACGTACGAAAGCAAAATACAGCGGAGAGGTGAAGTGACGTGGAGAGAGTCGGTGACGGCAGAATCCAGGAGACAGGGGGATGCGTTACGTCATGTGTGAAATTACAATCACCCACCCCTAATGCGCTCGCCTTGACTCGCCCCATTCTGTCCGCGTTCAGCGATGTGCGCGCACATGTACTACGGCTCGTGTTACGACTATTTCTATAAGTACGTGTTATTATTACACGTATATCATAGTTCGTGTACACATCGGCACGCTCGCCGGTTGTTCAGTATTCCGGGTACAGCCCTTTATAGCTGCGCAGCGCGATAATGAACACAGTGTCCGCGGGAGAAGTGTACACCGTGCAACGGGAAGGTTCGGTGCATCGGCCCTGAAGAACCTTTGGTAAACTTTGACGTGCAAACTGCCCGAGCCTGACCCCGATCAACGTGCCCGCTTATACGGGGCGGTTCGAAAATATAATCGTTTAATGCCCGTGCACGCTTTCAAGCTATGAACCGCGCGGATGAACCTAATAAATTGATACACCGGACAATGGTTGTTAATTTCCTGTCAGACGCAGCGTCACGTTAATTAATTTTATGCAACATTAATGCGCCAGAGTTTGGAGTTTATATATAACAGCTTGTACTCGATGCTCGCGGTGTTCAGGGCCAGGAACGGGCAACCCATGGCCCGTTGAATCATTCAACGTGGCCCGTGGCCTGATTCGAATTAAACAGAAAATTTTGTTAACTCTGGTACGCGGTGATGAAACTGTTTATGTTAGCAACTATCCGATGATTATATTAGGAACAGATTCCCGAGAAAGGTTACAATATTACGATTTAATAATGGAAAGAGCTAATTTTTGACGCGAATATGAACATACTAAAAATACACGCCCGAGATTGTATCGTAAAATGCCTTCAACGACATTTACGGGAACTATTTTTGTTGTGCTTTCGATCGGACATATTATGCAACGTGGGGTTAAAGGCGACGCGTTCTATGTTCGATCATCGATCAACTACGTTTAATGTTGCAACGACTGATTTCAGAGGAAGGAACACCCAATGCGGGGTGTGTATTCGTGCCAAGAGCGGTCAGCTGGAATGAGATTAATAAATATTAGAGGGACAGGGATACTCGAGGGATGCGCGTGATTTAAAGAGGTCCATGCCACTGAGTGTTTTAATAAATAAACGGGCGCCGGTGCCCGCAGTACGCAAAATTACTTGGGAAATTGTACTTTTTTTCACAGCTAGACGGGTAATCGTCCCGGTCTGACCTGGCGCTACGAATAATTAACAGGTCTGGAATCGCCGAATATCTGTAAATGCCTCGCGCAGGACGCGATATTTTATCCGAAACGGGGAAGAAAATAGAGAAGACGTCAGCATATGAGATAATATATGGTCTATTCCATCTTCCTACTGTACTTTCGGTACGAAATATATTAAATACACACTGGGACATCTATCTTTATCACCCCCAACGTGTCCCTCTTTCTTTTTGGCAACACAAAAACAGCTTGAGAAAAAAATTGTTCAGCTCAGAGACAATGATTACATGTCTCAGAGCAACGTAAAAGATATTCTAACGAAAATCGATTATTTAACCTATTTCTATTGTCTATCATAATCGTTAACGAATTTTCGATTATTTAGGAGAGTGTTTCGCCACTGAATACGTTAGGTTTTCAATTTTCTGATCGTCGTAAATTGCATCGTATCACTTTGTTTTTCTGTCAAAAATTCGTTTAATTGTCGCCCGATAATGGCGACACCTGGGTTGCCCTATGACAACTATCTTTGCACGCGAGATGAGATCAAATCGCGGCGATTGATACGATGAATTCATTTTTATATCATATTATTTCAAATTACTCACCCATGACTTCATCGATTACAGGTTCCGAGAACGTTGCTTGCCCGAAGTGTGTATATTTCCAAAGCTTCGATGCGTGCCTCGATCGCCGATGTAAACATTCAGCTTCTAACTCGTGCGTGACCTCGTCGAATGTTTCAGTACCGTGGTTGAAGCTCGTTCTACGATGATATACGTTATGTTCAAGACCCTTTCCATCGTATACAAAAACACGTAAACTATTGGATCATTCCAAGACTTACCAGCTCACTTGTCACGGTTTAAACAGCGAATAAATGAAGACGAAAGTAGCAGTACTCTTGTTACATTGTAACTTCGTGCCGCGTAACTGCCATTGCTTGCAACGCTGTCACCGAAGTCATTGACACACTCAATATATTCCATAGATTTAAAACGTTACAAAGAAATATTAATCTGAAACATCAGAACGATGTAATAATTAAATTAACAATTTTTAAGAACATTAGTTTCTCTACTACTGTCGTGAATAATTTTCCAACCAATTAATAATAATGGTGCTGTGCGTGACTAGGGAACCATACGGTTCAAACATGCATCGGTGGCAACTTCAAACAGCGAATTTGTAAGTTAACATTTAACTATCGAATTTATATCAAACGCTGTGAATAATTCCGTATCTACTTAGAAGTACGTTCGTCGAACAAAAATTAAGGTTATGTTCAAGTGTGTTCAATCGTGTATTTTTGACATTGATGAAGATATGAATTATAATAAAATTATATGAAACGAAAAAGTGTAAATTTAGCGAGAAGAGGACGCGTCCTTTGTGTACTATAGTTTTTCGTTGTTAACCAAGTACTATTTCGTATGCGAGCGAGTGTGAGAAGCAGAAATTTCGGACGATCGTTTCGATAGTTGTTATAGGGAGGATAATCGTGGAAATTAGCAAAACAGCACGTTAATCGAGAAACCAACATACCTGGACTGGACGAATAGTGGGGAGAATCCGGAGGGGTGGCCAATAGCGTTTGCGCGGGAGAAAGGCATCGAAACGGGGGACACATTCGTGGAAGGATCGTAGGAACGCGGTCGCATCGTCGCCCGGCAGCGCCGCGACGCCCTCGAGGCGAACTAGACGTTACGCTCCGTGCTCATCGCGAGGCATTTCGGCGTTTCTAACCTCGTCCTTGGCGCTGCTGCGCGTCGCTCCCTTCGTTCGTACAGTGTAACATAGTGCCGCGCGTCTTCTTTTTCGCTCCTCCTTTTCGTGCTCGTTTTTTCCTTGTTATCTGTGCCCGTTCGAGGTGAATGGTCCAACGGTGAACAAGGAAGAACCAGCTGACGCGGAGCCTAATTGTTTCGAATATCCAGCGAGGGAAATACTCCAGATTCGTATATAGGGTAAGCGAATATTATTTTTCTTCTGTTCGAATTATTTAAAATTATTCGCTGTGTCCCTTGTCCCTTTTTAATCGCTGTCAACCTTTCGTGTTCCCGGGTCGTTTGAATGCTGTTCCCTTTAAACTGACTCATTCTATAGGTCCGTTCGCGTGCCGTCCGACAATGTCGCGCGAAATTTTTAAAGTCAAACCGCATAAAATTCTTTATGCTCGCTTAATTCTGCGAACGAAACGACGATAAAGTAGCCAAATTACCGATAATTTTATTCATCGATGATAGAGTATACGTGACAGTTACACTGCTCGTGTTCTACGATCATTTTCTTTTCCAATTCGTTCTTACTCGCTGGAGAAAGCCTTCTCTCCTCTATATTGACGACTAATCACATATGTGTCACACGTTATCACCGTTTAAAAGCAAACGTTACCACGGTCACAGCAACGCAATCCTTATTTTACCGAGTGACTTTATCTCCTCTCCCGTGTACATATTACTCGAAATGTCCTTCTGTTCCAACGTTATTCAAATGCGTTGTTAACATTGGTCTTCACTCTTGCGTGAATTTGTGCTGAAATTTATTTCAAATGATGAACGACTGCCGTACTGCATTTTAATATTTTGCTTACGGAATCATGAAGAGGCGAAGAGCGTTGGAAAGAAGGCTCGACTTTAACGTGCCCTAAGGCAGTCTTGCTATTTTTATATCGCGTACGTTGGAAGGATAAAAACCTAGTTTACCTTTAAAAGAATAAAGAGTTTCCGCGTAGATGAAATCTCAAAGGGCATCGCGAAATTTCCAATTTAATCCAACTCCAGAAAGCAGATAGAATGTTCTCGATCCCATGCGATCGCTAATTGTTTGTTGTAAATAAATAGCCACTTTTATTCGAAATTTACGTCATAGCAGTTTGTTCAAAGTGACCTCCATTGTTAGTCACGCGCGCGTCAATACACCTTCAATGCCTGTTTCACGTGTTCAAACACTGTCGGTTAGTTTGCCATCGAATACTGAGCATTCATACGTTTTTGTAATTTCTACAAATTGTGTATCGATGTGGAAATAATTATAAAAACGAGGTTGCCCCACCTATGTTAATTTAATGTCTTTAACGTAGACGATTTATATAATTTAACGAGAGCTATCGGCCTACAAATGGACCAAATGTTTCGCGAACATATATATTCTTCAGGGTTTTATTCTTACATCCGAGACGTAGCTCGTAAATTTTACGACACCCTTCTAGACTCACCCCGTATAGAGGGCATCGGTGTAATTTTCCGTTTTTATCCTTGACACGGTTAATTCGCCTCGATAGTCGATAAGATAATCTGTCTCCGATTCTAAGGACACGCTCGATTTAACAGACTCGAGTCGTAGGCTCTTGGGCCTCGACGTAGGAACTAGAATTTTATATATTTTCATTGCGGCAGGTCGATACTCGGAAGTGCCTGCAGTTGTACGGCCGAGACCTTCCACGAAAGAATAAAATAAAGGCCGCGTACCGATAAGGACGAATTTGTACTCGAAATTCTTTTTAATTCTGCTCTTATCTATACACGTCCTTTAGCAAAAACTTCGAATCGATTTCTTGGAATGTTGAGAAATCTTGTCACGGGTTTTAAGGTTAACCCATTTCACTGTCGACTCATCTTACCTGCTTTGTCGTGTGTTTTTCATAGAGAAGTGCGCATACTTCTCCCGCGAACTTAAATCATCGCCGTGACACGCGAACGTTGTTCATTTTTCATTCCACTCGATCGGTCCTTACACTCGTAAAACGTCGCGTTACAGCTTGTCGAAAATTCCATATTACCCATGAATTTCCCCACGAAGCAACACGTCCGGAGATTAAATAAATCGTTTAGAAAATTACTGCAACGACGATCGGGGCGTCGATAAAAGGGTAGAAGAGCGACAAAGGGATGGATATGCAACCAGAGTTTCGCATCTCGGCTCAGTGGACCTCTTTCGCTCTTTCATGCTCTCGTTTCCATTCTCCCGAAGCGTCGAACGTGTCCTCCCGTACAAACGACAGAGTCGCTTTTGGTGCATTATTTTTTTCGTTCCCGCCCTTCGTTCTTCAATCTTCTTTTTTTTTTTACGCCGCATCGCGGGGTAAAAGAGACTGGCCACGGATGTTTTTTCTTCCTTCAAACCTCCACCCTTGTTCCTGGCCTCTCGTCTCGCTCGCACGAGTTCCCGAGTCCTCGCGTCCTGTCTTCTTTCCTCCAGGCTTTTCCTTTGTCTCCCTGGAAACCTTGCGGTAGTTATGCGACGTTCGGCCCAGCCGCTTGGCTGGTGGGGTTGGAAAAAGGGGAAGGGGGTTGACTCGAGGTTGTTGGTGGGGGCACCGGGCTCCAGAGTTGGGGGTGGAGAGGATACGGTCCTGAACGTGACTTGGATGCAATATTTAAAAGCGGGCACAACGTCAATACTCTGCTCTCTCACTCGCTCTCTCCTCTTTCTACCTCGGCTCCCGTCTCTCTTGGTTTCCTTCGACGACATCTTCCTGGATCCCTTGACGATCCGTTACAGGCCAAGACGATCCTGAATCGGTCGCTCGGTCTGACCTTAACCCGGCATCATCCCCTTAACCGAGCGAACCTTTCGCCCCGTCACGAAGGGAGCCTAATGTTTCCTTAAATTCGTAACTTCGTCCCTCTGAGCGAGACCGGTCGGTGGACGTCTACGAAATTTCTCCGTTTAACTTTCGTAGCCACGACGTTCTTCAAAAATCTCATTCGCCCGGGCCCTCTCGCTCGAAATCGAGCTAGGAACACGTCGAATTTCCACCGGAGAGACGAGTAAAATTTTATTCGAGTAATGGATCCATTTCGTAGACCTCGCTTCTTTTTTTTTAGTCCTCGTGAAAAATAGAGCACCCCGCTTGCTAACAAAATCCGTCGAACGTTCAGCCCTAATGAAATAAGGGCGCGATAATTCAGCCGGTCCGGTGGTTAAACATTCGCTCGCGGGACAAGAATTATTGCCAGGGGACGCCTTTGCTAATATTGCTTCTTCGGGAATACTTTATCAGTTTTTGACACGCCTCGGTAATTCACGTCTAATGTCTTCCTCCGCGGCGGTCGTGCCGGAAGAGAGGATCGTTTCTGCCTACTTCTGCGAGCGCGAAGAGCGAACGAGGTGTGAAAGAGAAAGACGAACGATCGGGCGATATAAAAGGGCGAGGAAATGCAGGAAGTTATGACAATTATGAGAGGAGGAGGAAGAAACGTCGGGGATGTGCGACGGCTCGTGAAATGAAATCGGGACGCGCCGAGCCCGATCGTTTATAAGTTCGACGAGCGAAATTCCTCTTTTCGTTCGTTGCCTTTTTCCCTCGTGTTTTCTCTGTCCCGGCGCACACACCGACGGTAAATGGACTTCCTATAATCCAATTAAGACATTACCCTCCAGAGGATGGAGTTAAATACGCTCGCGTCCCGACAGAGGATTTTTGGTAGCGGCTATTAACGAAAACAAAACATCTTAAGAATGATTCGATTACGCGTGCGATTCGTTTTCCTTTGCCTGGTTCTTCCATCCCGTTTGTCGTTTGATGACACGTGATCCGACGTCCTTTCACCGTCGAGTCCACGGGGAAATTTTCAAACGCCGTATGCGGGTCACGAATGAGAAGATCCCTGTGCTGTACACCCGTCTACTGTGTTCTAATTAAGAGGAAACTATAAAGTTTAGCTCGCAATGCTTGCGCAGCTTTCCAGACTTTCTTCCTCGCCCGCCTTCGAATTCAGCAATTTTGGCGATACCGCTGAAATTCGTGAAACGATATTTCAATTCATTTACCGTACCAGTCGCAAAACCCCTGCTCGGCATTTTTAACTTCTCCAACGTCTACGGACCACTTCCTTCTTACTGTTTAACTTTGATTCCGTTATGTATAGAATATATACTCCTTTGTGGAAAGTTCCCCCCGTGTTCTCTATTGAAAATACGCGACGTTACGACAATGTTAATTGGGTTTTCGACATCGTAATTGCTGAAGTTTCTGTCGCGCTCGAGTTCTGGACAGGCAAAGTTTCGTTTCGGATTTGTATCGAGGATTTTCTTTTCGGTGCTTTCGCCGTATTTCTCAGTTTAATGGAATTAATCTAACTGTTCGTTGTCGTTGATGTATTTACGGAATGATTGAATTTGTCGTTAGTCTCTAGTTCAATTGTTCGGATTACAAGTTGATATTGTAAATGCACTTTTATAACTGTAGGAGTCTAAACGAAAAATAAGGCACGGGGTTTCGAAGTCACGATCCTCGGATCCACAGTCGACCGCTTTACCTACAAGACCAATCCCGTACCCTACGTTTCGTGTTCTTATTTGACTCCTTATTGTTGGGTATGGGAGGCGCGGATACTACATAACCATGTTCATACCGTGATCGTTTTCTTCAATTAGCATAAATCCAAGTATATATGTATATATATATATATTTTATTCGTCTTTTCATTCGATGATAGCTAAATAGAGCTCTAGAGCTGATTATGTTACACGGCTCTGGCACGACTAAGGGCTGGCGGGTTGAATTTATGGTGACCGTTACGAGACTCAGCTTCTCGGAATTCGTAAAATTTAGAGGCTTATTTCTTTAGCGAAGCGCTGTAGGAAGCCTTTCCCCTCGCAGAAAGAGGTGAAGCAGCAGGTAAAGCGTTAACACCCTCTGCTCGGTCTTACTTTACACCCTCTTGCGCACAGCTCAGCATTGTCAGTCGTTCTCCAATATCGCTTTATACGAAATTTAATCCGAGATTATGTCTTTTTATTTACAAGCTTAAAAATATTTTCAGGGACCCATCTATACATTTTGTATGGTATTGCTACCATCTTCATTTTATATGCGTTTGGTCCTCCGCAAAACGAGTTTGTAGACCCGTGACGTAGGAAAAATTTGTCGCGGAACAAACAGGAGATACGATAGCTGCAACGGAAGAAATATTCATATTTCTTCCTTATTTCGACGTCTAGAAAAATGTGTTCCAGTTCC